TTGTTCTTTCGCGATGACTACGTTTTGTCCATTCATTAGTATGCAGGGGTTAGGATGTACACCTCTTCGTCTGGAGAAAAGCACACTAGTGGTTTTGTCAGCATTGAACTTGAAACCATTCTCATCAGCTCATTTGGCAAGGCAGTTAACACCTAATTTTATCTCGCGTTCGCATGCAGTCAAGTTACAAGATTTGAAACTGATTTGGATGTCATCTACATAAACAGAGTACGATATCGCAGGAGGAATAACAGAGCGAAGAGAGTTCACTTTAACTATAAAAAGCGTGCAGTTTAATACTCTGCCATGCGGCACTCAGTTTTCTTGAAGAAATGTGAGTGATAACACACTGCCTATTCTTACACGAACTTCCTTTCAGACAGGTAATCTCTTAAGAGGTGATCAACCTGCCGCATATTCCATAGGGCGATAAGTCTTGCAGTATTCCATATCGCCGGGCAGTATCATATGCCTTCTCAAGATCAAAGAAAACAAAAAGACAGTATTGATTGTGTACAAATGCGTCATGTATGTATGACTCGAGGAGGACAAGATTGTCAGTTGTGGATCTAAGAAGCCAGACTGGCACGGGTCTAATATACTGTTGTATTCTAAGTAATAGACCAAGCGGCGGTTAATCATTTTTTTAAACACTTTGAGTAGGCGGCTTGTGAGTGCAATGGGCCTGTACTGTTTACTGAAGAGGGATCTTTGCCCTGTTTAAGGATTGGTAGGACTATTGCCTTTTTCCAAGCAGAGGGTATTTTGCCAGTATTGAAAATTTAGTTGTAAAGTGCTAAAAGGCATTTTAGGGTTTCATCAGGGAGATTTCTGATCATTTCATAGGTAATTCTATCAGAGCAAGGGGCAGAACTTCCACAGGAACCAAGGGCAAGCTTCAATTCATGTAGTGTTAGTGGTTTATTGTATCCTTCAGATACAGGCTTATTCGGGTGCAAAGGTACGCTATGCTTTTGTGATGTAAGAACTTAGCAGTATAATTTTCTGAGCTTGATATTTTCTCGAAGTGCTCACCAAGAGCATTTGCCTGTTTTATTGTATCACCGCAGTCATTCGCCAAAGGAAAGGGATTTGGGCCTTGTCCTTTAAGTTTATACACCCTACTATACACCTTGCTGGCATCTGAGTAGGAGTTTATTGACGATATGTAAGGTGTCCAGCTTTCCCGTTTGGCTATATGGCGAATACGCCTGCCATTCGCTTTGCAACTTTTCAAGTTAATCAAGTTTTCTATTGTTGGGTAGCGAGAAAGTCCTCCATGCCTTTTGCTGTTTTTTGGCAATTTCACACTCCTGATTCCACCATGGCTTTGCGTTGACCTTATTATTGCTAGACTGCGGTATGCACTTTGTAGCACAAGTGAGGATATATTTGGAGATATAGTTGGCCATCTCTTCTGCACCCAAATGGTCCACCTCTTAGAGGTGTAGTGTACATAGCTCTCTAAATTTCACCTAGTTTGCACCATGAAAGTTCCACTTTTTAGGATAAAAAGGTCGGTCATCCCGTTGTTTGTAAAAGAGTCGGAAAATGGTCACTTACATATGAATTATTCATAACTTTCCAATCTAGGTAAGGTAGGAGTGACGGTAACACAATGGCTATATCTATGCATGAATCTGTATTGAGTGTGGTACTGCAGTATGTTGGCTCTGCCTTATTGAACAGACATGCTCCAGATGAGAGAAGAAAGTTTTCTTTAGCACGACCTCTCGCATCACATCTGGTATCACCCCATAAACTGTGACCATTAAAATCTCCAATGAAAACATACGGTTCTGGGAGCTGATCAATCAGCTTTTCAAGCTCTATTTTATTGAACGATTCGTCGGGGGGTATGTAGATGGAACAGATAGTTATCAAATGATTGAATAAAATGGTACGAACAGCCACAACCTCAAGATAGCTTTGTGGCAGAATGTGCTGGCCTGCTACACTTCTTTGTGCAATTATTGCTACACCTCTCGATAAAGAATTGCCACCATTTCGATCTTTGCGAAAAACCACGTATTGATTCAAGAAATTCATGTGAGTTGACTTTAAATGAGTGTCTTGAACACGGGACACTTTAGGCTGATAATCATTTAGTAAGTCTTTGATATCATCAAGGTTATGAAACATGCCCCTGGCATTCCACTGTAGTATTTGTGTGGTCATATTGAAGAAAATGTATGTGTCCTGTGTTCAGATGAACATGCTGGAGATGTGTGTTAAAGGAAGGTAACCCTTCAGGTTACCGATCCTTTGAGGGAGCGGTTACGGGATGTTTTCCTTTTTTACTGCACTTCAAAGAGTGCTGATTATCGTCAATGGCGCTGGTGTTCGTCCATCGATTTCCATAGCCTTCTCCGAGGTAGGTGCTGGAAGGTCGAGGACCGGGCTCAGAGACCTGCGTCTCCGGCCTTAGAATTCGATTCTGCTTCGGGGCCTGTTGAGCAGAAGCCTGCAGACCCACCTTTGATTTTGGTGGCATAGCAATAGCAGCAGTCACCTGAGGGGTGGACGAAGTGACTATTGGGCCACTGTTGGTGACCGCAGTAGACTGCCGAGGCACTTGTGGCACTACCCCCCGTCGCACCACCTCGGCAAAACTAGTGTAATCAAGGTATGACAGACGGTTCCTTGCTTCACGAAATGTTATGTTTTCTTTTACTTTTAGTGAGATGATCTCTTTTTCGATCTTTCATTTAGGACATGTTTTAGAGTAGGCTGGATGACTTCCATTACAGTTCACACAATGTGGAGATGTTTGCTTTCCCCGGCATGTCTGGGATCCATGTCCGTACCGATGGCACTTGAAGCATCGCCGAGGGTTTGGGATGTACGGCCTCACGCGAAGTTTGATGTAGCCTGCATCTAGTATGGTAGGGAGCACGCAGGTGTTAAAGGTCATTACCGTATTTACTCGCATAATCCAAGCACTTTTTTTGGCGGGAAATGGATGCAAAGTTGGGGGGTGCGAGAATTACATGGGGAAAACTTTCCACGAAAACATACAGAGCAAACAAAAAAACAAAGCGGCCGCAAATCGGGATTCTCACACCAGCAACTAACAGCAAGGTTTGAGAAGTACTAATTGAAATTTACCTAAACAATAAAAGCAGAGGTACAACACAAGACAAGATTTATTTCAGACACAAAAAGTGCAATCAAATAGTCGAGAATTAATATACCATACGCAAAGTTTGTGGGCGTTGCAGGCGTAGCGGTAGCGTTCGTTGCTCAACAAGAGCCCTTAAAAGGTAAGCGTAGCATGTCAGTATTAGGCTGATGGCTATTTAACAGAATCGTCTACAGTTTCCTTCTGAAGAAATAAAGTTTACCATCAATCCCAGTCTTAAGCACACGGCAGGTCCAACGCGTCTTGGTGGCTTTCAGCTGCCGTGACCAGTAGCGAACACGAAACTTGTCAACTCCAAAGGGCCTACCGCCGGCCATGTTGCTGTTGTTTAGTGCATGATCAATCACTTTCAGCTTGAAAGCAGCTGTGTAGCTTCAGTATCGCCCCATAACATCACAAGATTACCGACACAACATACAAAACACGCCGCAACGCGCACTTGCAGCTTTGGCTTGGCTTGGCTTGAATCTTCCTGCATTTATTAATAGTACGCTTGATGCTTAAGAGATGGTGCCAGATGGCGTGCACTATCATTATCAACGGCTGGAACGAGCAGACGAGATTATTGCGGCAATTTTCGGGGGTGCGATAATTACTCGAGGAAAAAAAAAAAGTCATACTTCTGTTGGGCGATGTGGGGGGTGCGAGAATTACGTGCGTGCGAGAATTACGCGAGTAAATAATACGGTATGTGTTTAGTGCTGATCTGCTCATTGTTTCGGCGAATCAAGATTCTTTCAATCTTTATTATAACATTTCGATTCTGGAAGCCATCTAGAAGTTCCTCATGACTGAGGTGCAAGAAGTCAGCTTCTGATATTACACCACGGCTCATGTTGAATGTTCTATGTGCAGACACAATTACTGGCACGTCACCAATACATTTCAAGTCATTCAATTTCTCAAATTGGTCTTTGTCCTTAAGTTCGAGTAGCAAATCACTGCTAGGCATTTTTGTGGCCTTGTAGCCTGGTCCAATAGTGTTTCCAAGGTATTTTGCCACCAGGAAAGGAGACAATTTACGAGCAGTTAGGTTACCCTCGCTATGGATTACATGATATTTTGGGAAATTCTCAGTGCTTCGCAAGAATAATTGGAAGGGTGCTTCGGTGCACCCTCTTTTCTGAGAGCGATCAAGGAAAAAGGAAGCTTGTTTAGCCATAAAGTACTGCTTGTGTTCGGCGACAATGCCAGACGCCCACCACAGAGCCCAACAAGGGGACGCGGCAAGACTTGACCGAAGTCTGCACAACGCCAGCTGTACACTATCACTATAACCGGATATAGCATACCCAAGGTTGGATACCTACACGAAGTTAACCCTCGCTGCCAGGAAAGAATGAAGTAAGTGGAAAAGAGAAGACAGGATAGATTTAAAGAGGAGAAAAGACGAAGATGTTGGAAGAGAGATACAGGAAAAGGTGGCTGCCGATTCCCCCTAGGTGGGTCAGCCCAGGGGTGCCGTCTACGTGAAGCCGGGGCCAAAGGGGTGTGTTGCCTTTGCCGGGAAGCCTTAAAAGGTCCAATCACCCGGCATTGGTTCAACCCCCAGGATCCCCTTTTTCCCGGACACGGCTCAGCCACGCACGGCTAGGCGTGGGAGAGGTCGAAACCCCCCGCTAGCCCGGGTCCGTGGTGTCGCTAAACGTTCATGAGTTGTGAATTTAGTAAATGAAGCAGCCATTCCGCAAAAGGTGTCAAATCAAAGCCAAATCAAACACAGCTAGGAAAAGTAGAGCTGGGGCAGTTTACACAACTTTCGTGGCTTCCTGTGCCCACAAGTATGCAACAAAGTATAGCGAGCGATTCGACAAAACACACCTTGGCACTTGCAAGAAGCGAGGGAAGTGCTACTGACCAACTGCCCTGAAGAGGCAGGCCCCATCCTCGCCCATGTTCTTGATCGTCAGTCCTTTCTTGCGAAGCTTCTTCTCAAAGAGGTACTCCCTCTGCAAATGCATGCACATGAGACAACAGGTCATCCGTGTGCCAGAAACAGCACATGCAGCATCCTTTTACAATGTTTCCATGGCACCTTGAAAAAATAGGCAAAAGTGTTCACTCTTGCCACAAATACAATAACTGGATGTCACAATTCTAATGAACTGACACTCGCGGGCAGTACGCAATTTATGCAACAACAAAATGAAAAGAAAGGGAAACTGAGAAGTAGGTTTCTTTTGCAAAGATGAATTTATCATTGTAGCTATGCCGAACGGATGTAATAAGGTGCATTGGTAACAACAGTAATACTGCACCATTTACTCGATCACTGTTCCACGTTAACTGTACCACTGCCCAAAAGTGCTTTAGCTGCACAAGTCGCTCGATCGTACGATAAGCTCTTGAGATAATGACTATGGCTAGTAACAGGTCTCGCAAATTAATAAAGCTGCCTGCCGACTACAATGATACGATACTTTGGTATTAATCTTACACTAAACTACTGTTGCTAGAAAATCATATTTTGCATTTACTTTTGTAGCACCTTAAAAGAACAAGAATGGATAAAAACACAGAAAAATTATGACGTGAACACAGAGCCTGCATTGCTCCTCACAGTCCTTGCTCTTTTTGTGTACTAGCAAAGCTAACATACATTATCAACACGGCTGAGCACGTGGTCTTTAAAAATATGTTGATGTACCTCGGCCTATAACTTACTTGGCAAGTTCTTTATCTGAGAAACAGATTTCGGTCATCAAATCCTTACAAAAGAAATGAAGGGAAAAAGTATTAATGTAACCAGGCCCCTTACAAACTTCACAAAATGGACTTGATGCACTTCATGGCACTGTAATGGGCAAGGTATGATATCTTAAAAATTATAAAATTTTCTACAATATTTACTAGGGGGAACTCTGACACTAGTGTTTAAACTGCCATGCATAACACTTCAGCCAGCATTGGAATAATGGGTAGTAAATGGATCTGTCTAATCTTTGTACTCTCAGCTTTGTCTGGCTATGTTTCGCCTGGAGCGGCTTTGTCGCAAGATATACAGCAAGTGTTCAGCAGCGCCATTGACTACCTCACAAATTCAAATCAGTACATGAAGTTCACAACGACTCATTCTTCATCCAAACTAACGTCAAAACACAACAATAAACAAAGCCACAAGGGCGTTCAAAGCCTGCAAGCACAAACACTAGGCAAATTCGTGAACTCCTCATCATTCTCGTGGTGGCTGCATGATCGCAGCACCAGAGCTCCCTCTAGTAAATATTGAGGACACTGATTTTAAGCACCCTAATATCGTGAATGTGCATTCATTAAATATATGAGCACTGTTTCCCTGCTTATATCATAAAGAGCCAGAAAGAAAGGTGCTTAGTTCTCAGAACACCGCCTTATTTTCCCATTTATTTTCTCACCTACTGACGATTTGTGAACACCTTCCATTAGTGCCTCAAATATCGATCACTTCAGATTTTAGCTTGTTTTTAACTACGTCACTACATCAGGAAGGAGCTTAACTACCGGTCAGCAGTGTTTACTGACCACACTCAAGAACTACTGCAGAGTCCTTTTTAATACCAAAATATGAATAAAAAAGCAGTCCTCAAATGTAAGGCCTTTCTGTTGGGAAATTAGCATATCCTGGAGGCCCAAGTTACAATGTCAATACAAAAACACTGAAACAATATGCAAATACAAAATACTAACCAAACTTTCAAGTACAAGCAACTCAAGCAATATCAACAATAGCAACCTCAGAACATCGCTGCCTGTTGAGGCACCTCTCTAATTTCAACTGTTTAGACAGCTCTCACTGTTATCAGCAAGAACAGCACTGCTACTCAAGACTAGACAAGAAGGAGCACACAGATACACCAACTAATGTGTATATTTTCATGATAGCCAAGCCAGTCCACTAATATCATTCTAGAGAAAGAAGCATACTCTGGACTGCAGCTGCCAAACAATAACACCGTTGCTGACTACGATCACTATCAACTTTGCACTCATCAAAATGCATGCACTGCAACAACGCTCAAGGCAGCTCACAGATCTACAGGACCGGCGCTAAGATCCACATGTACAATGAACTCTCACTCGAATGAACTTCAAGAGACCTAAAGAAATAGTTCATTTAACTGAATATTCATTAGGAAACGAAAGAGCATGAGAGACAGCAGAAATCAAGTCAGACATGTAATTTATTTTGAATTCCATAAATTTCACTTGGAATGGAACCCTTAAATCACAAGGGGCAAAGCTGTCCAGAGAGTCTATGTTTCTGTGCACTGCCTCTGTGGTACAGCTTGTTGCTGTGAAGTGAAGTCTTGTAACTTGTCAATATATCCTACAGCATCGGCTAAAGATACAGGATTTGACCCTGCCTCAGCCATTAGAACTTTCACACTTCTTTTCGTTATGGAAAAACACCGGAAACAATTTCCCCATTTTGGAATTGAAATTTTATGGCTCACAATTCTTTCATAAAGTTTGAACACCCTGTGTGGACCCTTGGCCACTCACTAGTTTGGGTCCAAAAAGATGCATTATATAAGGGCACTACAAAAAAGCACAACTTATAAAATTATAAATTATAAATAAAGAATCTAAAAATAAGCAGTACACTACATGAAATAACCACACAAAGAGCAAAAAAGAAAGAAAAAAAGTAACAACCTTTACTTACGTACTAAAATTAGAACAGCCATCACACTAAACATGACCGATCAGGTCATGTTTAGTGTATAGCGTTCCAGATCTTAATACCAGCAAATTGCAAAATCCGTTCACCATATACGTTGTTAGTTCATGGAATATTCCATTTACCTAAGGTTAGTTGTTTGGTACAACGGAAAGGGGAGGAGAACATTGACACATTGAAAGGGTGGTTGTATTTAATAACCGTGTATACATATTTGGCTAGTTTTAATTTCCATAGCATACCGAATGGCAAAATGAGTAATAATTCTTACAGCTCATTTTTGAAGTCGTCTAACTGGGTCCAGGTAAGTTGTATACGAGGTGCCCCAAGACTCAATGCAATATGAGATGTGAGAATGAATGAAATCATAATAAAGTATTCGTAGAGTAGTGCTATTAAAGTGTTGAAGAGCCTGAGTAAGTGCATGACACCCTGAGGCTAGTTTGGAACACCCATTCTGAATCTGCATCTGCCAATGTAAGTTATGTATAGTGACAGCAAGATATTTATTTGTGTTAACTTGCTCGATCACAGAATCGTTAAATTTAATGTGTATATCACTAGCACTAATGTATTTTAATCTAGAGTGAAATGTAATACATTTGGTCTTATCGATATTTATAGATAGTTTACTATTTGATAATCAATGAGCAACCTTACCTAATTCGATGTTAGACTTCGACTCAAGATCACCTAGATCACCTGTTACTAAGACACAAGTACCATCAGCGTACGTGAGTATGTTAGAGGACTGTAATAGCTGCGAAAGGTCATTTATATACAAGGAGAACAGCAATGATCCCAGTACTGAACCCTGGGGAACACCAGTATTCAAGGGATTGCAGAAGACAAGAAATCACTTATTAGTACAGCCTGTTGATGACCTTTCAGGTAGTCCAAAAAAAGTTCTAAAATGATTCCATGGAAAGCGTAATGTGGCAATTTATTTAGCAGTATTCTGTGGTCTACGATGTCAAATGCTTTTTTTAGGTCTAGAAAGAGAAGTGCTACTAACTTATTTTCATTCAATGCTGTGTTTATAAATTGCGTAAGGGTCAAAACAGCGGTGGACATAGAATAGTTTGGTCTAAATCCGTGTTGCTAATAGGAGAACATGTTATATTTTGCAATACATTTATTGGCAAGAATTTTTTCGAAGATATTATTATTTATACTCAAAACAGAGATTGATCTATAGTTAGAAGGTTGAGAATGATCACCAGTTTTATATATTAGAATAACCTTTGCAATTTTCAAACAAGAAGGGTATATGGCTGCTCTCACAGAATGGTTAAAAAGGTGCCACGAAACCAGTCCGAGGACATATAAATTTTCTTTAAGAAGCCTTACATTTATCCCCCCCCACCCCCCATCTGGGCCTGCCGATTTATTCATTGGCATTCCCGACACAATAGATCTAATTTCTTCAAATCGATGTTATACATGACAAAAAAGTTCGAATTGGAATCTGAAAGAACATGATCGAGGCTGGGTTCCTTGAATTTTTTAGCTAGTCTTGAACCAATGGAAACGAAGAAAGTGTTAAACGATTCAACTGTATTGGAGACTATGAGATCACGAAGTACCTTAGAAAGCGGAGGGAGGCCGACAACGTCATTCACAATTTGTCGAAGTTTTTTTGAATTACCATTCACCTGTTCTATTTGTTGGGCATAATAATTCTTTCTACTCATTCTGATCAAAGTCACTGATTTATTACTTGTTACTTTAACGGTGTTTTCCGTGAATGAATTGAAACTTCATTGCTGCTTATTTTGACTGCGTTTTTGAGATGAGAAATAAAGTTAGAAAATTCAATATTCATGTCATCATTGTACATTTGATCAAAACTAGATCCAAGAAGAATATTTCTTAAAGCTACATAGTCTATTTTAGTTACAAACTTAGGCCCATCACATTTTTTACTCCCGATGCGATCAACAGAGACAATTATGTGGAAATGATCTGCGACAGGTTTGTCATACACTTCAGCACTAATATATTTCTCGGAATTCATCAGCGTGTGGTCAATCATTGTAGCAGATGTTGCCGTTATTCGAGTTGGTGTGGTGATGAGATTGCGAAAACAATATGATTTCAGTAAGTAAATGTAGTCGTCGTGGACTTAACTACGGGTATCAATGTTCATATCACTAACAATAACAGTAGATTGTTTGACGTTTGTTAGGTGACTCAGAATCATTTCAAGCATTTCAAGAAAGGAGAGAAAACGTGCATTAGGGGGACGATAAACTACACCCACTGTAGACGAAGATTCCACCCTGACAA